TGTTTTTTTTTTTTTTTTTTTTTTTTGGTACCAGGGATCAAACTTGGGTCCCTGCGCTTGCAAAGCAGGCACTGGAACCACTGAGCTAAATCCCAGGCCGTGTGTTGGATTTTTAATTCAAGAGTATTAGTGAACAGTTAAATCTTATCAAATAGAAAGTAATATTAAGCTCTTCTGCAATGAAACTTTCAAAGTATTGCCAACCTGAAGTTTTCAGCACAAGATGTTGGATTTCAAGTCCTGTGGGGGCAGTGAACTGGATTAAGGGTGTTCTTAACCAAGACTCAGGTTGGCACCATTTCAGGTGAGTGAGTAAACATTCTCTTGATCGCTCCAACGAAGAGTTGGAGGCTTAGGGTTTTGCATGATGTAAACAATATGAAATTAAAAGTTTTGATAATATGTACAGCACTATAAAGCTAGAAAATAAAAACCATTAATGACTTCTTATAATAGCGTTCACACCGAGGACCTTTTCTGTTATGAGACATTTTCTCAGAGGGCCAAAAAACCAGATACCAAGAAATGCACATTGTACTACTGTGTTTAGATCATCCTTACTGACATATGTAATTAGAAACAGATTTGCCTGCCTTCAGGAAATTAGGGATTGTTTAATTTTGATTAAAAAAATGACAAGAGACTGTAAGAGCTATGGGAACTTTTTTTTTCTTTTGGTATTGGGGATGGAATTCAAGACCTTGTGCTTGCCAAGCAGGTGTGGTGCCACCGAGCTACATCCCCAGCCCGAGCTATGGGAACTTTTAGGCTAAAAATAATACAAAATGAGCCAATACAACACATCTCATCTCAAAATCCTCTTCTTTGTGGCTAGCCTAGAGTCCCCAAATATTATTCTAATTTTATACCATATAGAGGTTTTTAATTGAACTAGAACAAAGCAGCCCCTTTGTCCTTTTTCTTTTTTTACATTTTTTACATACATATTATATATACAACTTTTAAAATAGCTGCACAATTTTATTTCTCATTGTTAGAGAAGTGCAGCCCAGGCAGACCATGCCTCTCAATATATTAAAAATATTAAATAAACGCCAACCACTTTCATAGTTTCCTAAGGTCAGGCTGGCTGGAAAGGGGAATGGAGAAAGAGCAGGCAGTTGTGGACACAATCCATCTTCCTTCACAAGCACACCACCTCGAAATCTTGCTACTTCTTTATCTTATCCCTTTGACAGCATCTCTAACTCTCACCTTAACACTGGAAAGAACACACTGCTAGCTTAGAAACAGAATCTGTTGCAACATACATATGCCATCTGCCCACTCAACCAACTGCAACCCTGAGGATTTTTCTGGCCCAGCGGAAAGAGGAAACACTGAGGTGATCTCTGCAGTAGTAGAGCTGCTTCTCCAGTTGACAACTTCATGTTTTTCAGGATGTTTCTTGGGCATGCACACATGACATTGTCACTTCATGATTCTACTTTCCACAAGTAGATTTCTTCGCCACTGTCTTTGATCCCAGAAAGCCACTGTCATCCATCCAAAGGTTTTCCAAGGTAAACCAAAGTCACCTCTGTGTTGCCATATACAGCAGAAACTGCTGGATACAAGCAGGCCTTCGGAAGTCCTCTAAAGGCAACCCCCAGGAACTCGTATCCACGTTCAAAAGCTAAAGTCTTATCCTCCATGTCCAAGATTACTCGGATTCTTTCTCCTATCTGCAAACAGACATCAAAAGGAGATCAGAAGATAACCCACCAAGGACACAGTTAGAACATGACACAAATCAAGAAGCTGAAAATAAGCCAGGTGTGGTGGCATATGTCTGTAATCCCAGCACTGGAGGCTGAGGCAGGAGGATTGCTGGGAGTTTGAGACCAGCCTGGGCTACATAGTGAGTTCCAGGTCAGTCTCAACTATGTAGTGAGACCCTGTCTCAAAAAACCAAAAAAAAAAAAAAAAAAAAAAAAAAAAAAAAAAAAAAAAAAAAAAAAAAAAAGAAGGAGGCTGAAAGTACTATTAAGAAGTATCTTGCTGGGCATGGTGGCACACGCCTGTAATCCCAGCACTCGGGAGGCTGAGGCAGGAGGATTGCTGTGAGTTTGAGAATAGCCTGGGTTACATAGTGAGTTCCAGGTCTGTCTCAACTACATAGTGAGACCCTGTTTCAAAAAGCAAAAAAAAAAAAAGCTCAGTGGTTCTGCCACCTGCCTTGCAAGCCCAAGGAACTGAGTTCGATCCCTGGTAGCACCCCCCACCAAAAAAAAGGATCTTAAAAGGTATTTAGAAATATCAGAAGGGAAACTTTTTGGTCAGGAAGAAACATCAAGAAGAAAGAACATATATCATTCTCATCAAGAATGCTTATTTTGGTCATTTTCTTAAAGATTCAAATAGGACATACATTTAATTACTAACAATTTAAACAGTCCCCAAATTGTCCTCAGATTTCAATTACTCTTGGTTAAGGCTTTTCTGAAAGAAGTTAGCAACAAAATCTATATTGGTATATTTTACCACAACAGTCATCTAAATATCTCCTGTTTAGTGAATACAGAATTTATGTTGTAGATGATAAAAAAGTTTTGGGTACAGAAGGCACTGAATGCTATACACATTATAAATCTATTTAATGTCATTTAATTGTATATCTATAATTAAATGTTTTACAATAAAAAAATCACTAATAAAACACATACGCCTTGAAGTTTACAAACCAGTTCTACATACAATGGTAGAATGTATGTAATTATGGATAGCTAAATAGTTTAATTCCATTTAACACACATCAAATAGTCAATTTGTAGTCTACTGCTCTTTAAAGAACAGCAGTGCTGACTGTTAAGCCAGACTGGAAACTCAATATATTCAGTTCTTTTCACATTTATAAAAAGTAAGCAAAGAACAAGGAAGCTTCATCTTTATAGTTTCCATCTATACAGAAAGTTGTATCTAAATACTTAGAAAAAGACAATTCTAACTTTTACAATCAAAAATAAAAACGTAACACTTCCTGATTATGGTAACTTCCCTGTTGTCCTTTATTTTCCTTCATTGTCTCTCTTGTCTCGAATAACTGCCAAAATCTGAGGTTTTTTTCTCTTTTTTTTTTCTCCTTTTGCCCAACTCGCAGATAACTCACACCCTATTTTATGAACTTACCCTCATTACTGTTATCAACAAAACACAAAGAAGAAGAAAATAGAAATGAAGTGCTAGTAATTTGTTGAGTAACATTAGGAGTTTTATTTGTATTTACTCCTCACATCAATCCCAGGAGTCTTTCCTGTTCGTGGAAGACAAGACTAAGAAGCAGAACCAATCTTGTTGAAATCTGCAATTCACCTTTGAGCACAGGCAGTGCAAAGCAGGAGTCTCAGTAGCTTTGGGTGTTGTCAGTAAATAAACCCTGGGGATGGCAGAGCCCCTGGAAACTATGAGGAGCTCAAGAAGCAAGGGAACCACGAAAAGAATGAGCCCCAAATCTGAGAAAATACTCTGCCAAAATCCTTGTGATCCTACAACGATTACACAGGCAGGGGAAATCCCTGGGAACCAGGCTGAAAAAGAAGTAAAGCTGAAAAAAATAGGGAAGGGCATTGGCTGCTAGACACCACACAAGAGAGTTTACAGTTCAGTCCAAGCACTTCAACTGCCTACCACTCTAAGAAAACCTATAATCTTCAGAGAGTAAAGCAGTTTCTAGACAAAAAAAAAAAATCCCAGAGTTGCTAGTACATATTACCTACATGTTCAGTTTTTAATTTTAAAAAATTATTAGATTGGAAAAGAAATAGGAAAGTGTATCTCATACTGGAGGGGGGCTATCAACAGGAACTGACTCTCAGGTGCGTAAGTGCTACATTTGGCAAAGACTTCAAAGTAGCTATTATAAATATATCCAAAGAATTAAGGAAAAACACAGTATTTATGAAGTGAAAAAATAAGGAATCTCAATAGAGAAAATAAACTTTAAAAAAGAAACCAAATAAAAAGACTTGAACTAAAGAATACAATAACCAAAATTCATTATCCTAGTTCAACAGCAGAGGTAAGAGGGTAGAAGAATGAAGCAATGAACTTGAAGAAATCATCCAAATTATCCAAAACAAAGAATACAGAAAAACAGCTGGGGGAGGGGTATAACTTTAGAAGCAGAATGACAAGGACACTATCAAGCAGTCCAACATTACATTAAATGTCAACAGACTAAACCCTTCAAAAGCAGAGACTGGGTTGGATAAAAGACTCAACTACATATTATCTAGGGGACCCACTTTAAATATAAGACAGTCTAAAAGTGAAAATGGGGGTGTGAAAAAATGTACTTGGTAACCATAAATTCTTAGGCTTACTTAAAAGCTGGAATAGCTCTACTAAAATCAGACAAAACAGAGTTAAAGACAAGGAATATTAGTAGAGTCAAAAAAGATCATTTCATAGAGATATAACAATTAGAAATATATATGTGCCTAATAACTGAGTCTGTTCCCTTGTGAGAGAACTGATAGAACTGAAAGGAGAGAAGGTAGCAAACTTAGTCGGAGACTTCAATACTTTTCTCTGTAACAATATAGAAAACTTGAACCTTATCAACCAACTGACTTGTCATTAAGAGAATATTCCATCCAATATAATACATGTTTTTTTTAGCACACATGGAACACTCATCAAAACAGACTATATGCTGGGGCTAAAACAAATTTCAATAAATTTGAAAGGATTGAAATCAGAGTGTGTTCTTTGAAAAACAAAAACTTAAGGACTTTTCACTATAAAATTATTGCAAAGGTGAATCTATAAACTTAGCAAAAGTAATAGGACTTTATCTTCAGTGATAATCCAGACACCTCTCTCTGCAGAGTCTAACAGGACAATGAGGAAAAGACTCCATGAAAGAAAATCCTTTCAATTTTTCTACCTCAGAAAATGGAATATATTTTTAGTTCTACTTTAGTATGACTAACATGAGACCATCATTGAGGGTACAGATTTCTAGATACATGCAGCTCTAAAATATGCAATCTACAGCTCCTTAAAACTTCTAATTTCTTACCAGATTCTTGCATTTTATACTTTGCAAAACTTCAGCAATACTGCTTTTAGAAATAGGAATTATAATTTTGATTCTGGATGCAAATGAGTATGACTTAAAGCAAAGATGAAAAGAATAAATGTAGCACTTGCCTGTCTCTACAGCAAATGTTGAATCCTCAAAGATTAATAAGCAGCAAGAGTGTGAGTATGCATGAGTTATATACACAGGTACATTTGTCGGGGTGAGGAATCTAGCAAAAGAAGATTTATATGTGGCACAACACGGAAAGATGATAATCTCGAGCAAGAGCTGGCAAACTGCAGCCTCTGGGCCAAATCTGCCCTCCAGCCCATAGATAAACACAGCCATGTTCATTTACTCACACACTGTAGACAGCTTGTTTCAGGCTGTAACAACGGAGTTTGAAGCTGTGTAAGTGAACATATGGACCACAAAGCCTAAAATATTTACTGTTTGGCCCACACAAAAAGTCACCAATGCCTGATGTGGAGCTAAGACGGGCTCTCAAGATCAAATATGCACTAGGAAATGGATACTGAGATACATCATATACCATTTACTTCTAAATTACAAAAAAAGAGTCATAGCTGCTATATAAACATTTAGAGATTTAAAACAAATGCGCTGCAACTTGACAAAGGCACACAGCTAAGCAAAGACCCAATCTCTCACCTGGTATTTTGGTGCGTTGTTGCACTGCGGGAAACTGCCATTGACTTCCCCGTTATGTAGTAAATTATTGTCCACCAGATTCCAGCCCCAGCTCTGGTCATCACTGCCCAGCAATGCCACATAACCTTGGCACTGCATGGGGGCCCGCTTTGTGGCAATTCCAATCACCGCCACGGTGCCCAAAGGGCCCTCCCACCACACTTCCCATGCATGACGGCCCTCACTGAAACCAATCTTGGTCCTTGCACCATCAGTGCTCTGAGCGATGGGGTTTCGGTGTAAGGTGAAGCCATTCTTCTTAATATAGACATTCCTGGAGCAGTCGTTAGTGCTGAAGGCATGTTGGAAAGCACGTACCTGAAGATGAGAAACAGATCGGAGAAGAAATTTGATTTGTCTTAAATATTAAAAAGTATTCAAACTTCAGACATGTTTTTAAATAATGCAATTACATATTTTTAAGGAATACATTAAGTATTTTCATGTAATGGCAAAAGTTTCATGATGCTTCAAAAATATCATATAACATTAAAAATAACTGCCGACTGAAGCCGGGTAATAAGGCTCACACCCATATTCCCAGCTGCTGGGGGTGGGGGGTGCCGAGGCAGGAGAGGATGGCTTATACCAGGAATTCAAGCCAGCATGGGCAACATACTGAGATTCTGTCTTAACAAAGAAGCAAACTGTCAACATTCGTATCACTGACCAAATTCTGAACTTGTACTAAAATTCTCCAAATGCTCAGGAGGCTGAGGCAGGAGGATCATCATGAGTTGGGAAGCCAACCTGGGTGACAGTGAGGTCAAGACCAATCTGAACTACATAGTGAGACCCTGTCTCAAGGGAACAAAAACAAAACACAACACGTTCAAAGATATATATACAAGAATCTTTGTATTTTACAGATAATTCTGAAATGTTCATGGCTGAAATAATGTCATGTAGGAATTAGTTAGAAATATCCAGTGGCAGAGTGGAAGGATGTGTAGGGTAAACATGTAACCAGATTTGTCTTGAGTCACCACTAAAGCTTAGTGATAGGTATGGGGAAGTTAGTTCATCAACTATTTTCCTTACTTTTGTTTGTACTGTATTTGACATATTTGTATCAAAAAGTGTATTTTTTCATACTGCCAATGCTACTGTCAAAAACAACTGTATTTTGGGACTAGGGTGTAGCTCAGTGTGGAGCGCTTGCCTACCATGTACAAGGTCCTAGGTCGATGGTGGCAATCTATGGTGTATTGTGCTGCAGCGGGTACACAGAGCCCTCTGTCAGCACACCAGCCAAGTCACCCCAGCATCCCCCCAGCAGCGGAGCATCAGATATTCAGGTATAATTAGTGTTGGCACTCTGCAATAAATAAGTGAGCTTGGGACTGCAGGCCGGGCACTCAACCTCTAAAAGGTCTGCCATCTCCACCCACACTGTGTTCTGTTTCAGTGACCACCCTTCCTCTGCCCTCTCAAATTCTCCAAGCTCAGTCCTTGATTCTAAATTCTTTCCAGACCTGTCTTTCTAAAACACCACCTTTATTGCTTCTTTTCCCTGTTAATAACCTTTTAGCAGTTCTATATTTAGTACCATAATCAACTGTACATTCTTCTGCCTACTTTCAAAGCCCTCCAGATTGTACCCCTCCTATTTCCTTTTCTACTTTGCTTGTGTGTTGTGTTGTATCTGCTTACCTCCTCCCACACATTCTCTAATATCAGCTCCATGAAGCTGTTCTTAATCAGGGCTGCCCAATCCCATTCATTTCTCTGTTGAATTCCTACCCACCACTGTGTGCACCACATAACAATTACACAGAGATTATTTTCTAACATACCTCTAACCACTTCTAGTAAAACATATCGGGGGGGGATCAATGGAAACTGGGAAATACGGAGGACAGAAGAGCAAAAGCCAGGCAGACAACATAAGGTGCAGAGGTAGAAGGTGGGAGGAGATAGTCTGCAGATTAAAATAGCCTTCTGGGACATATCAGTTATTTGTCATAGGTACCTTTATAGACCTTGATTAAATAAACTATAAATTTAGAATACAGAATTTGACATTTACAAGACAACTGAAATCAACACTGTTTATATATTTCAGAATTTTGAGACAAGGTTTCACTATGCAGTGAAGGTTGGCCTTGAACTCACAGAGATCTTCCTACCTCAGCCTGTAGGTGCCAGGTCCTCAACATGGACAATATAATATTAAGAAATTAATAATTTCTGGGCTGGGGATTTAGCTCAGTGGTGCCGCTGCCTGTCTCGCAAGTGCAAGGAACTGAGTTTCATCCCTGGTATCAAAAAAAAAAAAATCTAAAAAGAGAAATTAATAATTTCTTTTTAGAAGTGATAGTAGTATCATGATTGTATCAAGTGTCCTTTAGAAACTGATACTGAAAAATTCAGATGAAACAAAAAAATCAAATCAATAAATAAAAACAACCCATAGTTTGTCTCAAGCTCATGAACTTGGATTTTATATTATTGCAAACAGCTTTAAGACCTAGCTTTGCAAGTAAATCTAAAGTTTAAGAAAATTAAAAAATAAAATTTAAGAGAATTATAGTTAAATGACAAGTATGTCTGGAATACTAATGTACTGGAATACTAATAATGTGATATGTAAACCATGAATTTACAAGAGAAAATTCCTGGGCGGTGGCTGTCGTAAAGCATATATTGACAGGGAAAACTTTTATAAATGGCAAAAACCTATAAAGTGTTACAGTGTAAAATGGCTTCTGCTGTCTCTAACAGCAGTTTGTTTTGTTTAGCTCACAACTAATAGGCACCAAAGGCACTAATTGCTGAATGAGACATCTGGTCTCACCCTGAGATAACAGTCAAGGTCTTGAGCTCCAAGGAGAATGGAGCCACCTGATCATAAAAGTGTCTAAATGAAAGAACCCATGGCTAACATTTGCTCCCCTGACCCTGAACACGCCCTTCCTATGGACTAGAATAGAAAACTAGGCGAATCTTAAAGGTAAACTCCCCAACTGCAAAGAACTGTTACGTCTGTTGAAAAGATTATGAACTATTCTGTGACCGTGATTTGAACTATGAGAATGGAATGTAACCACCCAAATGAAGTCAAGGCTGTGAAACCCTATAAAGGAGGAGTTGTAACGCAGTGCGTCGTTGATCCAGGCACAGCTTATGTGCGATTGGCCCTTACCTATAAGTAAATTTATTACTTTACTTCCATTTTGCTGCCTCTCTGTGTGTCACTTACTGATTCCTTCCGTAACAATATTAGGCATGTACACAGTCCCAGGTTTGATCCACAGCAAAAAAAAATTAAAAATGAAAAAAAATTTTGGAGTTTTTAGAAAAAAGAAAATTCCCAAATAAAATGACCAACTCCAAATACTTTCCAGTTTTATATTCTCCCAAATCTGTTCCTATCCTTTTGTCACTCAGGCTCCTTGGAGATTCTATTCACTCTGCCCTCTTCCTCGCCTCTTTCATTCAGGCAGCTGCCCAACTTGGGATATGCTCTCTATGACAGCTCTCCAAGCCACCTACTTCTGCTCTCAGATTCTCTTTTTTCTCTCTCTCGCCTCATTTATTGGATTTTTGAGACAGGGTCTCATTTCGTAGTTTAGGTAGGTGGAGAACTCACTATGTAGACCAGGCTGGCCTCAAACCTGCAGCAATTCTCCTGCCTCAGCCTCAGAGCACTGGGATTACAGATGTGTACCACCATGTCTGACAGGCCTACTTTTTTTTTTTTTTTTTTTTTTTTTTGAGACAGGGTCTCACTTTGTAGTTGAGACTGACCTGGAACTCCTTATGTAGCCCAGGCTGGTATCAAATTCATATGATCCTCCTGCCTCAGCCTCCCAAGTGCTGGGATTACAGGCGTGCACCACCACGCCCGGCTGGCTACTTTTAAAAGTACAACTTATACTGTCATTCTTCTGTTCTAACTTGTGTTTTTTCCAACTATAAAACAAAGCCCAAACAACACATTCAAGACTGCATTTCCAAAGACCCTCCATGATAATCTAGTTCCAGTTTACCTTTACAATTGTATTTCCCACCACTTCCCTCCATTCAACCTAACTAAACTGAACATACATATTCCCCTGTAGTGCTGGGGTTTAAATGCTAGGCACTCTTATGACTGAGCTACACACTTAGCCTTGTTTTATATCTTTAGCCTAGACCTCTCCTCAAAGCTTCAAGCTCTAACAGCTGCCAATCTGAAACCTCTGATATCTCAAAAACACCATAAATTCTACTCTACAAACCCGGTGCCATTCCTCAAAAATCTAGCCCAAGTGATCCCATATTATGCAATCCAGAGACACCCAGAAGTCACCCTTAGCATTTCCTTCTTTCTCATCTATTTCACACCTGTAGCCAAATCTGGTAGATTTTACTCTTAAACCTGTCAACTTCTAGCTATCTCATTCACTAGCTACTTCCTGTTAGCCTTCCTAATGGTGGGGGGATACTGGGGATTGAACCCAAGAATTTGGTGCTTGTGAGACAGGCACTGTGCCACTAAGCTAAATACCCGGCCCTAACCTTCCTAATTTCGAAGGTCCTCCTTGCTGAAGTCAGAAATAACCTCTTGAAAAGGCAAAATAAACATCACAAGGACCCTACTGCACACCCCTCTTGCTTCCAATTTGAAATGGCTTCTTTATGGTCTATGTCTTCCAAGTTATCTCAAAGCAGCCTCACTACATATTTGTTTTCACACTCATCATGTTCCCTCCCCAAAGGCTCTTCTTTCTCCTGTTGGAGGCTGTATCCTTATTCTTCAGGATTCAGTTCATGTGTAACTTACTTCCTACAAAAAGCTTTCCCTGACCTCCCTACCTGGGTCAAATCCTCTACTACTGACGCCAGTACCTCTGCAGCACAGCACTTTCCAGCTGCTGTTTTACACTGTATCACTATACTGTAAATTCTGTAAGGCAAGGCATCCATAACAGTCTGTTTTTTACTCAACAATATATCTGCAAAATTGAGCATGGCGCCTTTGCTTTCCTCTTGTTCTGGTTGGAGTACTTCCACTTCATAAAGTGCTCAAATCTAGCCCACCTGGTGGCACACGTCTGTAATACCAGCACTCTGGGGTCTGAGGCAGAGGATCACTGCAAGTGACCAGCCTGGGCCACAGTGAGTTCAAGGCCAGCCTGAACTACACAGAGAGACCCTGTCTGAAAAAATGTTCAAATCTACTTCATCTTTAAAATTCACCTCAATACAAACTCAACCTCAAATCTTTTTCAATCTCACTCAACTCATATTTCTCCTTTCACTGAACATCTGGTATATTTTTTTATATCTCTAATAGTAAGAAACAATGTGTACCATGCATTATAGCTATTTCTATACACTTTTTTACCCCTTTACTAAACTATGGACTTCTCTACTAGCCTGACTCCTTTTGAGTTAATCCCTTCATCGCTAAGATATTTTAAAAAAATCCTGTAACATGAGAATGAATGAATTAGCACAAGCCTGCAGTAAGTATTGTAGTAGTATACAATAAGTATTGTATAGTACACAGAGTAGAAAGGTAAACAAAGCATTAAAAACTTACTAAAATGAAACTCTCTGGAAGAATATAAACCAAATGGTAATACAGGCTGCCTCCAAGGAGAACTCAATAGGTGGGGGACAAGGGCCAAAGGGAGACTTTTGCTTTATATTATTTTGCTTCTATTGAAACTTGACTCACACAGACACATTATCTATTACATGTTACACAAATCTTGACTCATATGAGCGTATCACAAAATGAATTGCAAGTCTATTTAAAATAAGCAAACCCAATAAACTTTATGGTAATTTAAAAATTTAAAACATTTAAATACTTAAGAACCCACACATTTTTCAGGCAAAGTAGGACAAAACTGCAATCTTCTGTACTTTCTTATATAAGTTCCTATTGGTACTATGCACAAATATTGCCCTAGTAAATGTTATTTCACTTGACTGAAAAACAATTTGATAGATGACAAACTTAACAGCATTGTTCCTTATCCTTTCTTTTTCTTCTTGTGTGTGTGGTGCTGGGGATTAAACAAGAGGGTTTTTGCACATCCTAGGCAGGTGCTCTACCGCTAGGTGATAATCTCATCGTTTTTATTTTATTGACACAGGGTCTCACTATTGAGATAGGCTAGCCTCAAACTTGCAATTCCCCTGCCTCTACCTCTCTAGTGGTAGGGATTAGTTGTTTTAATATAGAAAAAGTACATTTTACATCTACTTCACATGGAAAAAAATTTACTTCTTACTTTGACCCTCACTGCCATGTTTTCTTTTTTTTCATATATTTTTTTGTTTACCACTGCAGGTCAGACTTTATCCTCTCTCATGTATTCTCTTGGTGACTGCTATATTCAAGACCTGTTATCAACTGAACCCATCCAGTGGCCCTTTGTTTACAAGGACTGGAGAGAGAATCCTCTCAACCTTACCACAACCTGTTACTTGGCATTTCTTTTTTTTTTCTTTTTGAGACAGGGTCCCACTTTGTAGTTCAGACTGACCTGAAACTATGTAACCCAGGCTGTTCTCGAACTCACAGTGATCCTCCTGCCTCAGCCTCCCAGAGTGCTGGGATTACAGGTGGGCACCACCACACCCTGCTTGGCATTTCTATTTTGAATTATGAAGGTAGTAGAAATATGGACAAGAATTTGGGAAACAAAAAGAAAGCAGCAAAATCTGAATCAGCGCATTAGATGACAAATAGAAGAGAAATATCATCAAGGTTAAAGGTATTAAAAAGTTTGCAAGGAAGTCACCAATAATAATAGCACAAGAAAGTATTATAACTATATGGTGCCAACAGGAGGACGCTCTATGAAAGCCTGTATCTGAAAAGTTTAAGCAATATGCCCCAGACCACGCTCCCTTATAAACCTGAAATATAGCAGAGGGAAGTTGGGTGGAAATACGTAAAGAAAAATGTGATAAATCGGAGCTTAGCAAAGGCGAAGCGAACGGAAAATCTCAGAAACTAAATCTACATTAAGGCAGCCGAGATGATGTAATGTAATAAAAGTCTATGTGTATACCGGGGAGGAAAACAAGAGAGTACAGTTAAAATGCCAAGAGCCGGTGGGCCTTCTTTAAGAAGAAAGACTGTCAAAAGTCGACCGAGAGCTGGGAATCATCAATCGGCAAACACCTTGCCTTTTTAAAAGTGGATCACGAGGACCGGGAATTTAGCTCTGTGGTTCTGGCGCCTGCCAGGCAAGCGCGAGGACCCGAGTTCGATCCCCGGTACCAAATAAACAAATAAAAGTGGATCACGAAAGTGGGGTGCGTTAAGGAACAGAACTTCCATCCAAGGGGGGAGGGGACACTGACTGGTGGAAAGACGGGCTAGCGAGCCGAGGCGTCAGACCCAGAGGCTTACAGGAGACGCACTGAGCGCGCGCGGCTACCGGGGTCCCTCACCTTGGCCTTGTAGCTGGGCAGGTTGCAAAGGATGTCCGTGCGCAGAGCCTCCTCGGCCAGGCTGCGGGCGCACAGGCTCCGCCACACCTCGCTGTTCTCGTCGCCGTGCAGGCAGCGGTACCAGTGCTTGCACACCAGAGCGCAGCTCCGCAGCTCCGACAGCTCCAGGTAGG